ATTTAGTTTACTTAGACTTCAGCAGGAAGCGCCATAATGCCTTTAGTGAGCGAGTGAGTTTTACAATACTTGTCGAAGCAGCTCAAAGTAACTTTGTTCCATCCGCAGGTGTCAAGAGGACAGGGCTGCGGTGGCAAAGGAGAAAGTGACTATTTTCCTCATTCATACCCAAAATGAGATGAATCCTTTGCTATGCTTGATTCCTCTCTGATCTTATGTGTTTACTTGTGCGAGTTATTATTTCACACACGCAGGCAGTTTGCGAAAGATTGATTCAGCTGCACTCCATTGGTGACAAAGTGTTGATTACATCACATCAGCTTTCTGTAAAAAAAAAATAAAAATAAAAATGGGACTAACTTTAAAATCCTTTCTAATCGCTTTTAAGGCAGTTCGCTTTCACCAAATATCATAAAGCTGCTAAACTGTTTGGGGTTCACGAAGGTTTTTTCTGTGTTATTGCTTCATTGTCTTTGGTGACTTGATTATTACTTACTACTGCATGGACATAATAATCTTTTTTAAAAGAAGCATGATGAAGAAAAAAACTAAGTATAAAATGTATTAACTGTGCTTTTCCTTCTTTTGTTGACAGTTTTTGTTATTCTTCAGTACAAATATGAGCAACAGCTCAAATGGGATGGTGGTGGATGGGCCTTAAGACCCAAATGTCATCTAAATACCTGAAATAGTTTCTTTATGAGTCATATCATAGCTTTCAGTGTTACCATTAAGCCTGTATGTTATATCTTTAATAGACCCCTAGTAAAAATAATAAGACAGTAGAGACAGATAATTAGAAAACACCCAGACTCACATTTAACAACTGGAGCTTCAGCTGGCTGACATAATATCACTTTGATTAATTTCACCATAGCTGTAGTCTGCTCTGATCTATGACCGAGGGTTTCAAGATTAAACTGTAATCATGCATTGCTTCCTTCATCATGAATTTGTTCCTTGAGTACGGATATATATTAGCACATACATAGGTTAGCATTATCACTAAGTTCATGAGGCAGCACTGGAGAAACAAACATCAGCTTCATCAGATTTCTACTTGAATCAGGTGCATCAATGCAAAGGTAGAATTTTATACAAGGTTTTTATTATTGTACATGTTTTCACACAAGTGAAGAATCGATTTAACTTAGTAAGTTAGTTTATTTACTAATATAACCTAATCATAACTATATTAAAAATGGTTGTGTAGTAAAAGACTCAGAGGGGAGCTTTTTTTGAGGATTTTACAAAAAGGCGTGCACAGTCTTTAAACTGAATGTCCTAAGCAGAAGAATCACAGAGAAAACTCTCTGAAGACTATTTTTTCTTTACCTTTACAATTAAAAAGGATCTTGAGAGAGTGTTGTTGTTGTTGTTGTTGTTGTTGTTGTGACCTGGCACTATATAATTACATCTGAATTTAATTCAATTTTTTTCAATAGCAATCAACAGTTCGAGTAACAGGAAAAAAATGTTTTGGGAGCATCTAACACACGGGATCATTTTTTCCAGTGAACAAATTTAATATTAATATATAAAAAGTCACTGAATATTTTGTAAGGTTGGAGATACAAGTTCTAACACAGCTAGAACAGTATCATAAATGACCTTTGTTGCTGCTGTAACTGTTCTGCAGAGCATGCAGTGAGACAAAGAAATGGTCTACCATGAGACCAATCTTTCATCCACGTTCCTGCAATACGCTGAAACAGATAAATAGCCTAAGATAGAATCGCTTTATTAAAACCGTTTACAGTCCTCCTACATTACATTAAGAGAATATAGAAATAGTCCAATTAATGAGGCATCATATTGACAATTTTTTTATGAAGGCTAATGTTGTTTTTTTACACCACAGCTCTAAAACAACAATGTTGTTTGGTGAGATTATGCTTTAAAAAACAACTTTAAGGACATATGTCTCTTTAAATAGCCTCTTGTACCTCATTCTGCTTTTTACCGTGACTTGACTTACATTCGGTCAATTACTAAAACCAGGGTTGCGCCTTGTACTTACTTGAGGAGCTTGTGTTTTTCTTCCTGTTAGTCACATTTTACAAGCAACATTCCTCCCCTCCTCAACAATTGGACTGCATCAGTCGCTGCTATCTCCCCGTTCGAAGAAGGTGGCGACTGAGCTGAGAAGGGGCCAGCCTGTGCAGGGGCATTTGGATGGGGGAAGGGCATGTCTGCTGGCAACAAGGGTGAGTAGATCAGTGCGGCTCAGTGTCTGTGAGGCGGTGATAAGATTCCAGGATTTTCCCAATGTGACAGGCCTGCTCACCAGCCGTACACCCCTCTGTATGGAGACAACCGCAACCTCCACCACATGACCCTCTCACCCCAACCCTTGGGCTGCTACAACTCAGCAGGCAGGAGCCGCTGTCACCTGCAACCACACCCAGAACCTCAGCACTCACAGTGAAAAGATGTTAATCTGAAATCTGCTAAATGTAAAATCCAGTTTCTACGTTACACTCAGACGCTTGCACCCTGTACACAAGTCGTGCTGTCTCTTTCTTTCTCTCTGGCTCACTTCTCTTTCTTTATCTCTGCCTTCTCAGTCCCCCCTCCCCACTCCCTCTCCCTTGGATGGCAGGTCAGGCAGTGAGCTGTGCGGGCTCAGAGGAGGTAAGGACGCCGCGGTGCACATTAATAATGAAAGGCCTCAGCCACCACCCCCAGACACACACACACACACACACATACACACACTCCCCCCATCGCCATGGCGATGGCACTAGCCCAGCACTGTCACCGGGGGGGAAGCTGGGAATATAGCTATGCTCTCCAAGTCTCTGCTCACCAAGCTGATCACAAGCTCGTACACAAGCCCACCATACTGGGCCTTCCACCACGGATATTTTCTAATTAAAAACACTCCGCACTTTGGCTGTCTGTATCTACTTCCCCACCTGGATAAGAGATAGTGAGTATGAAGCTGTAAAACTAAATTAATCACAGAAACATTGCATAGCAGGGAATGGAAATCAACTCAGTAATTACACTAAGACCAATGTGATCAGCTCTGCCTTCTCGTATCCGTAGATGAGTCTCAGAGTCTCGCATGCTTCCATCGTTATTCTCACTATCTTTAGTGCATAAGTGTGTTCACACCAAGAGCCAGCCTCTGGGGCTGGAAACGAAAGCCAACGTGGAAGCTTCATAATCTTGCAGTTCCTGGAGTGGCCACTTGAGGCTTACTCAAAAAGCAAGTCAATCCCCGTAGATTTATGTGTTCACCATCTTCACAGCCTGATATAAAACAAATTCTCTGTAAGCTGTTTACATCTTATTTTATCCTAAAAGTTAGACCACGTTGGCTGAGGCACGGGTGTTGACACAGGAAGCTTTCCACTGGGCTTCTACTTCACTAATTTGAGTCACAGAACCAGACCTCCCAGACGGGTTTGTGGTGTTGGTGACTTTTGGAGTTTTAAAGGAATTATCTGTCAAATAATATGGCTCACTGTGAGGTACAGCCCATCCAAGAAATCTGTGCTCCAGTTTTGGAGAGTCTGCTTGGATTTTATTGGATTGTTATTTAACATTAATTAGTAGATAGCTGTGCATTGGAGACAGACAGTCCCTGGATACCGCTTTTAGCCTTACCTGATCAAAGCACTACACCCTCTAATCAAAATTCAAAACACACACACATATTTGACAACTTGTAAATTTTCAATAAAAATGTCCATGCGACAGGTTGTTGCAAGGCAACATGTGATCATGATATACCCTTCATAATAAAGGTTTTGTTGATAGATGTTACTTTAGAGAAATTAAAATCATATGATGGTTTTGTATGGTGTTACAGGTGCATAAATGCTACAAATGGGTCAATTTTGCCTATTGGTAGGTGGTTACTAGGCAATGTGATGACATCATAATATCTGATATAGATAAGAACCTTCACGGGCCTAAGAAGTACCTGTGTGCCAAGTTGCTCAACTCCAACTGTGTATAGAGGAGTTGGCAGGCAAACAAATAGACAGTGACTTATGTATTACAGGAAAATGCTAGCGGAACAATTCTCAGAAAGTGCACAACTTGCTGCATTAAATTTAAGATGACACTAGTGTGTTTAAATTCACATACTGGATGTATGCAGAGTACAGTGTGAACTACATGGTCTCTCTTGGAAATGAGATTTTTAATCTCAATGAGATTTTTACCTGGATAAATAAATAAAGGACTAACATGGAAGTGCTATGATCCAAACTTTTAAACTCTGTGTACACATGATACTATCAGCGTTAAGCACCACAGCCTAAATAGCTCTGGACACGGAGCTTGCAATCATTCATCCACAAATATCATCAATTTTCAAAACTTCTGCATGTGTTTTCGGACTATAAATATCAAGAAGTTGGGCAAATGTCACAAACATCTGGTTGAGAAAGAAAAATCCTCACAGAATTTAAAAACAAAAAAACATTTACGTGGAGCTTCAAGAGGTTTCATGCAATTTGAAGAAAAACTGCAAACAAAAAGATCTTATTCAAACATCATTTAAATCATTTTGGTTACATTTTAGCATAGCAAGGGTCCATTGTTCCACTGTAGGCAGATACACTATATGGGCAAAAATATTGATATAAAAGTATAAAGTGTAAGAAGTAAAGTGGGTAAAAGTCACCAATGATCTGCTGGTTCAATAACTTCAGAGCTCCAAATCTCTTCTGGGTTTAACATCAGCACAAACACTGTGTGCCGGGAGCTTCATGACACGCGCCTTCATGGCCTAGCTGCTCCTGTAGGGTTCATGTGTAGATTTCCCAGTACTTTTGTCCATATAGTGTATTACATAGGCAGTAAAAAAGAGATCTCAGTCAACCCAAGAACATCTTAGCGATTCATACCACCACCTGATTTACTTTAATGAGCTGTGTTTGAGTCAAAATTATGCTGCAGCGTCCAATTGTAAAAGAAAAGGAAACTTTTTTTTCCTTCTAATTTGTGGAAAATGTATCCTTAATATTTATTTTGTCAGTCCAACCATTTTTTTAAAATCAGCTGTTAAAAAAAACATGCAAATAGACAAGTAGACAAACATCAGATTTGTAAATTTTGACACGAATACATGCATTCCTTTTTATTCACAAAACCAGTCCAATTTTCTAAACAAATACAAAGATTGGTTATTTTTAAAAGCTGTAGCTACCCAGCAACATAACTAAATCATAAAAATATGACAAATAAACAAATAAATTTAAAAAAAATGCTTGTCCCAGTGCTTTCAGTAGGGTAGACTCAGAGCAAGTGCTGTCTCTTAGTGCTTTTGCCCTGAGCAGTATTGGCACATGCTCAGTAGGGCCACAGTAACAAGGCTGCCAGTTTCACTAAAGGAACAGTTTGGAAATGCAGAGGAGGGCTGATTGAGGAGATTACAGTAGTGACGGCTCTGGCGAACAACATCTTCAAGCCAGCGAAGAATCTCAGGTGATCTGCCCATTAACATGACTTTTTTTTCTTTCTTTTTTTTTAAAAGTTTCATTACAATCCAAAATGGACAGCACCACAATTTGAAACATTTTCTTGACTGTCAAAGGACAACCACTTAAATCTTTCTGGAAAGTAAAATGAAATCATAAAGAAGACGAGGGCTTTGAGTAACATAATGGTGAAGAATTACAATAATGTTTACCATTAGCCACTAGTTTTTAAAATATAGCTGTAAATTTACATTCTCTACACAAGTACTTTATCTTTCCACACATGAACAACATTAACACCAAACACAGAAATTAGTTGATTGTCCACACTCAGTCCGTCATTTCTGTTTCTGGCAATGAGCAGTTCCATGTTTAAGCGACAGAAAAAACCTGCTGGGATAAGGACAAAAGGTACCAAAATGGAAACATAGAAAAGGGAATGAAAGTTGCCATAGATGCTTTTCTTTACGTTTTCATTTTTGGTTCAAGGAATAAGTAGGTGCATCCATTATCCGGCTGATTTTTTTCCTCTTTTTTTTCTGCTTTTAGTTTCGTTTTTTTGTTTTTTGTTGGGTTTTTTTCTATAATTTTATTTGTTGCTAGCTTGTTTATTAGCCAGTGTCTGTTCCGGAGACAATCCAGGAGTTGGCATTGCACTTCATGGCAGAGCTTTGGGTAGGGAGCGGAGGAGGAGGAGGAGTCCTACTGGAACCACCGGAACGCCGCTCCTGTAGGAAGCATCACCTTCTTGGAGAAACAGAAGACAAAGAGGGAGGAAAAAGGGGGGAAGGGGATGGGAGAGGAGAGGAGCAGAGAGAAGATGCGGGTGCAGTTGTTAATAAAAAGCAACACATTCTATTTGGCATTGCAAAGATAATGTCAAGTCCACCACTTAACTGCTAAACATTTTTCGAAACTTGAAAATCGAGGCGTGTCTAATGTTTCCCTCCAGTTAACAGAGAGTTCCTCTGCCTCATTTTTGGGCACCAACCAGTGATTAGTTAATGAAACAGTGATTGCTTAATGCATGAAGTAAAATTGTTTGCTACCAGAGGCCATAGTGTGACAACTTGTTGAGATTCAATTAGCAATCTCACACCAGTCATACAAAAGACGAGGACAAAAAACAAAAAACTTGAGATGAAGGTGAAGTATTTCCAATTGACAATCGACTGGAATGATTAATGTAAATTAAGTTTAGCAGCTAATCAGTCGTCCACCACTTCCATCCCCCACCCCTAGATGACTAGGTCTGAAATCTTCACATCTTTATCCTCGGCAGCACCACAGGAACAGGCTTCAGTCCTGGCTTCACACAAAACCCAATATGCCACATTTATTATTTAGCCACCACACGCGTTGCTCTCCCACACCATCATCAATGATGATGCCGTTTCCCGTCTCCCCCACCCCTTCACTCTCTCTCTCGCTCGCTGTGGTTATCTGTGTGCCTGACTGAACTGAGCAGGAGTGGCACACATGCATGCAGCTGCAGGGCTCAGCAGCAGCCTGCCAGTCGGGAGATAGAGAGCAGCTCGGGTCCCTGGAGCCGCAGCACGGCTGGCGTCCTGTAAAGTGCAACTCGATTCTGCAGCACGGATTCTTCCTTTAGGCCGGCTCTGCCTGGAGCGAGGCAGGAGGAGCTCGGGAAACATTTATGCACCCACACACACTCTCGCACCGAACCAATATGTATTCAAGTACAGTCACACACCTCCACACACAGCGGCACGTTAACCGACACTCACAATACACCCCCGAAATCGCACCAAACAGCGAGACCGTTGAACTAAAATTCTCATAAACGCTGGATTCATTTCCACTTCTCCATCAGTACTCAACAGCAGAAGGTTTCATAAGGAATCGTGCATACTGCGAGTGCAAACACAAAAACACACGTGCTCGTGATGACACGGAAAAGTAAACAAAAGATGCACTAAGGGTGTGTACCGGCCTCATATTTATAGTTCCCCTCAGAACAATTTTTTTCGATTCTAATGAAATTCAAATTAAAAAATTATTTGTAACCTGAACATAATCAGACTTGATTTTTTTTTTCCGGTAAACTGTTGTGCAGCTCTTTTTCACAGCTGCAGTGAAATTACAAGTTTTTCAACAATGGCAGCTCGGCAGCAAATGGCCCATTAGTTCAAGAAGCTTGTTTGAAACCAGAAACAATGCCAGCTCTAATTACTTTTCAGGCCCACTTAAACCATTCCTCTACCCTTGAATCAGCAGTACAGTGTTCTTTTGACTGCTATTGTTCATATCTGGACATGAAACTGAATGACAGCAGGGTTCGTGCTCCACAGGTTTCGTGTACTTTCATTTTGAAAGTTAACTCCCGCTGACAAAAATAAAACACTTTTGCTTGGGTAAAAAGAATTCAAACAAGGTAATTATTCTGGTGGTCCCAGCCAAATATAACCCACACTGTGCTTTATTTGTGATGTTGACTCAAACAGGAATAATCTGACAGAATATCACGGCGCTGCTCGTAGCTCTGCCTCTCAACGTCTCAACTTCTCATGTTTACGGATGCAGGTTTGAATTGGGTATAGCCTAAATTTTCCCTACAGCTTTCAGTTGATCCTGTCAGCAAATCCTTTTTGGCTCAAATGAATATTAATACAATCCACAAACCCAGAGGTTAACAGCCAATGTACATCTAAGATGATTTGATGATCCGTGTGTTAAAGTGTGCTAGCCTCTCATCCATCTCTGTGATGACCTTTCTGTGGTGGTACTCAGCTGTTAAGAAGACAGACAGAGGACACAGCAACATCTGGCACTGTCGCAGATGTCAAAAATCTGGTAGGGGCTAGACTGACCATGACGTAATGTGTGCGGAGGGAAAAACAACACATCCCTCGACCGAATTGTAAACGCCGTTTTTCCTCATTATTAAACATGTGCAATCAATGGAAAAATGGCAGCGTTTCAGGAATAGAAACCCCCTTTTTCACCAACACTGATTGCAAAGGTTCAAACAGATGGGATCTGTGGGTGTGAAGTGGCCAATCACTAAAAATCGATGGATGTGTTTTTTCGAACAATGCATGCACATTTGTCTTACCGGTGTGGACTATACCACAAAAGTCAAATGAAATTAATGTTTTTTTAAGAGAGCTCAGGTTACGGTGCTTATTGTTATCTGTTACTGATCCCCGGAAACCAGTTTAACCTATCATGAAATCATGTTTTGGCCCCAGGGCACCGGTGAATGTTCTGGCTATTGTTCTCATTGCTTTATCATCAACAGTTTTCACTACTTTTTCACAGACACCCACAAAAAAAAAAAAGGAACGAAACACAAAGCATCTCTGCACACAATTGCACATGTGGGATGTTGCAGCGTCTGTAGCTCACAACGACCAGAAAAGAAAAGAACCTTTAAAACAACTGAGTCAAAAACCGCGAATGACCTCCAGCTGGCATAAAGATTCACTGTTTGTCTGGCTGAGGCGATGATGCATTTTCCTAAGCAAGCGCTCTCTTCCAAGAGTCGATTGTGATTGATTGTAAATACATTTGATACGATTCCTCTTACTTGACCACTAAACACATCTCGCAGCCAGGACCGGAGTAATTACACAAACACAATCTGATCTATCAACCCAAAGGCCTTGAATTTATTATTTATTATTAAACCATACACATGCACTGACATAATCAGTTGTTGTCTTCATTGATTTGTCTGCTGATTATCATCTCAGTTACTTATTAATTGTATAATGTGACCAAAGTCTTCTTCAGACATGGAATATGGAGTTGCTAACTTCAGTTAAACTGTTATTCTGTCATTTTAATAGTTAATTTTGTTTTATTAGCGATGCCTTCAAAGACACTTTACTAGAGTTCAGGAAACACATCAAACCTTTACTGAGGATTGCAGTTTAACTGTAGCTAACAGCTGTGTGCTCTGTGACTACACAGTGTCATATTTATTATTAGATCCTCATCCATCCTGTCTCCATGTCTGGGGCAGACTAATTTATCAAATATTTTCTCAGGTTTGTGCTACATATGAAAATGTGCACCACTCTCATGGTTGGATCCTGCAAGTATGTAAAAAAGCCCAGGGGACTCCCGCAAACTGACTGTCTCCTGTCCCGTCTTCATTTTGGTAAAGATGTTGCCCTAAAGGTTGTGTTTTACAGATATGTCACTTTAACAGATGTGAAACTACTAAAGCACAACGTCTGGGGGGCAAACTTCCAATAGTTGTAATGTATGCCAACTGAAGGCATGCTGCTTGGGGCATCCTCCAAAACAATCATGTCTCGTAGTAAGCCGAGCAGCTCATGAGGTGGCGCAGGAGAGATTTGCAGATACCACGATTTATATCTTAATCTTCTGCGTGAATCCTTTGATGCAGTTCACACCTGTGGTTTGTTGAAAATGATATGTAAATGTTACCCGGTCCAAAGTACCGTGGTTAAATTGCCTTTTGTTGCGAAATAGGTGCAGATTACTTTTCTACTCATCATCTAACGTTTGACTTCAACGTTCATCTTAACTTTCACCCATCAGACCCACGGCCATTAATCCCAGATCAAAAGACACATGGACATCTATCTTAAAGCTGCGTTTAAACTGAAAGATTTTTAGAGGCCTCTACGTATTGTGGCTCTTTCAACAGTGTTTCTAAACAATAATATTCATCTGTAAGACACCTGAAGATTTTGTTGTGTTGTTGTGTATAACATATATGTCTTAAAATTGTTTTAACCAGCCAGCATTTACTTTAAAAATATTTAACACTACTGTATTTAAATTTCTGAGCTGGACATTGATGTAAGCAAGGCAACATTACCTCTATTACTACGGGCCCTTCGGAGATATCAGCCATGGCTAATTTACATTTACAGCCGACTACAACCACAGACGTACTGATCATTCATCGCGAGTTAGACCAAATATTAGACAAACATCAAGTTATAAAGTGTCAGATTTTTTTCTGCATGCGATGTGCACAATTTCAACAATATTTATAGAGATCTGACTGCAAAACCATCAATTTAGACGTCCGTCCTCTGTAGCCCGACCAGACATCTCTATTGTTTTTTTTAGACTGATTATAGCAATGGATGCACACAATACTACGCCGCATTGATTAAATCTACCTTTTATATCTTATACTAAAAAAATACTCAGTGGGAAATGCTACAGCAGAAGCAATATTATAGATTGACTTAATAAAATGTTAAATACAGCCTACAAGGCAATCAGACCATTTTTTTTAAGTATGAAAGAAGCCAGCCTATTGGTTGGGTTATTGCCCATTAGTCAGTCAGGTAGTTGTATTGTGAAGTTAAAGTGAAAGAGAATGCTGCAGTTCAGGGAAAATAAATGTGGCTTAAAGTTGCAGTAACTGGGATATTCTGTGAAATTCAAGATTTTTTTTTTGCCCCCCGGGGCCTCTTGGGTCCTTTTCGCTTATAGCAGCAGTGAGTACGACACCTTGGCTGCCTGAAAACCTCGTCTCTCTCGTTGTACCTAACTCTCCCTTGACTGTCCACTCTGACTTGTCCCTCTGCCCGACCAGCAACTTGCCCACACACCCATGTGTCTCTGTGTCAGTCTGCATGCCTGTCACTTTGTGTGAGTCGCTGCTGTCCTGACTGCCTGATGTACAGTGTCTGAGAGCCAGGAAAGACCATGAGGGAATATGCTACTCCCATATCAGCGTCTGATACTGGCAAAGTGGCTCCCAATGGAAAACACTTGTATGTTTAGGTGTTAGC